AACAGGCTTGGAAGTCAGCACATTTCAGTTATGAATAGCTCATGGCCCACATTAGCAAGAATTTCAGCATCCCTGAAAGCACGCTGGAATTAGATGACTTTTTTTAAGCAAACCACAATATTTTCAATATTCCTTCTTAATCCAGCTGCTTACCAGTAGACAAGTACTGCTAAAACAACTAGTCTGTTTTAGAACAGAAGTTGTAATGTCAAGAGGTAACATTTTGCACTGTTGTTTAAAAAGCTAAATCCAAATGGTCCTATAGCATCCTCCTAGTCTACTAGGATATAATGGCTTTCCAGCTCCTTTGGAAGTACTTAGGGCAGGAAGTTCCTGTCTTGGCTGGTTCCAAGCTCAGTGGAAGTCACAACAAGGAATAAGGAGACAGTCATGATGCATCATCTGAGCACAGAGGTCTGAGATTGGCTGGGGGAAAACCTCAATTCTGCCACTAACGCTGCCATTAATCTTCCCTGGCAGAACCCAGCACAACCTTCTTTTCCTGCAGACATCATCATCATCTCCATCATCTCACAGCCCAAGGCGTCCTGATGTCCTCTAGGGCTCTGTCTTGCAAAAATTAACTGTTCCTCATCTCTTCAACAGGATCTCAAATACATAGCATTAGCATAAATAATCCTGCAATTGGAATGCAAGGATCCTCATTTGCATTTGCTTGATGCCAACAAACTCACACTGATAGCTCTTAGAAAACAGGTCTATTGTTTCCTCAAAGATGCTCTCATCTGGCACAATCACTGTGTAGCTCAAAAACTGCATAGAGATTGCCACTCTCAACAAGAAATACTACTCCTAAGACTTCACAGGTTATATTCCTTTAACATAGCTACTGCTTTGGACAGAAGTTGGTTTCATAAGTATTATTCAACAAACAAGCAAAGGTCCTTTTTAATCTGGAAGCCAGAAGCATGCTCATGGAAAAGCCACGGCTTTTCTCCTCTCTTCACAAAGCACTGTCTGGCATTCTGTTAGTCATGCTCCTGTTTGCATTCCTGGCTCCATCACAAGCTCAGATCATAGTCCATCATAATTCCAGTAATTAGAAACAAGTCGGTTTGTTTTCAGTATATCCAGAAATATCACCTAGCTGTCTAAAGTATTCCCAGTATTTCACTGTATATGCATTTCTGGGTTAAAAGTCAAAGTCATTGTATCAAGGTTCCAACAATTTGTGTAATTTCTGTTCCAGCTCTGTTTACTGGATAAACATGAAAATAGCACGGAGCAGTGAGAAATCGACATTCACAGCCTGCTTTCAAAGACACCAACAGCTTATCTAGGAGCTGTAGATAACCAGCACAAAACAGAAATACCTGGGAAATATACTTGTGGCTGCAAAGCTGACTTACGTACCATGCACTTCATGCAACGATGTCCACATTGCCTAGCTGAACCAGCCTCACACAGTAAATAACTATTAATTGTGCTTAGCCCCAGCTGCTAACACAAACACCCTAGATCTATGACAAAGCAAATGGATCATACACCTTCAGATGTTAATATGTAACAAAGAGCCTCATATGTAGCAGTCTAGGAATGGACAAGTTTGTATTCTAAGCCTCAGGGAACAGAGTTTGTACTTTTCTACACAGTATCACAATATTGCTGTGGCTTTTCTTGCTCCATCACATGCTTGAAGTGATTTAAATGCAGCAACATGCAACAGCATTAACTATGTTTTTACAGCCAAGATCCATAATGGATACAACTAGAGAACAACTAGGTGGGAGTTGAAGAAAGAGGAGCAATTCACACCAGAAGGAGCAGGACTCCCTTCTTTATTCCAAATATCCTTTTCCATAATTTCAGGCCCCTAATCAATTTTTTCCTAACACAAATTACTTTCTGCATCGAAGTCAGGAAAGCACTAACTTCGTACAAAACACAGTTGATTTCCAGCCTAGAAGTTGGTGGCTTGCAATCGATAAGTGCATTTTTTCCACCACTGGGCCTGAAGCAATGCATTGACCTCAAAGTACTCTGACATGCTAATAAAACAAATGAGCAGCTATAACAGTGAACCAAAGTTTCTATCAATTAGCGTATTTATTTTCTAGTATGGTTAAAAAGTATGAAAATTTGAAATTCTCAAGCAAGTCAGGAATACTCACTCCCAACTTGAATTTCTGAAGGTTTCAGCTCAACCAGCTACACAATCTTTACAAACCTGCTTTGTGAAAGTGCCAAAATCCTGCACACAGCAGGTTCCAGAAAACACAAGAGGGGATCAGGATCTGCATATTTCAAAGAAAAAGAAAATGATGGCAATCATTCCCTTTGTGCAAATGTGAGGGAGCTCTGGCAGCGAGGAAATGGGAAGTTACAAGAGGTGCAGGTAGTTCAGGAGCAGCAGAGCCCTCAGGTGCCATTCCAGGAATTTGTTCTCCTTCCCACTGGCAAATATGTTCAGCGTTGAATATGTATATGGAGCAGAACCAGGCCCAAGACATTTGTAGGGCAGATGTCCAGAGACCAAGTTATACTACAGCCTCTCAGAGCGTACACTGCCTTCATCTCCCAAGTGGCACACATCCAGTCTTGCAGCAGGACTGTAAAACAGGACATGGAAGGATTCTGTACTAAAAGTCCACAAGAGACTAGCAGAGGAAAATACACATACAGCACGCACAGTGTAAGTGACAGCACTATGCACAGATAATTGAAAATGAACTCAAGATGGACACTTCTTTGGTGTAAGCCTGTGCAACACCTCGTCTCATCCTGTAGAAATACACCAACTCAGAGAGCTGAGGTCACTGGGAGCATGACAGATGAGCTGCCCCAGCTGCCTTTATGGAAGCATGCTACTCCTAACTAAACAATAAGTCTGTAAACTCACAGTAATAAACTTACTCATACGTGATTTTGAAGACGTAGATTTAAGAAGTAAGAACTTCTCGTGCCAAGCCTAAAGGAGGCGGCAGGTAACAGAGAGATCTTTATCTTTTAGATATGCCTAATCAGTGCGTGGAGGCATTTCACTTCCACAGTAATTCTCAGAGAAGTTTCAAACAAGGGATGAATGACGGTTCTTTTTTCCTCTGGTACATGTTACATTTTCCAATGGTAAGTGTCAATTCCTATTTCCTTGGTGCCACCATGTGGCAAAAGCATGTACTGCCATTTTACATGCAAAAGCCACTTTCAGTTCGACCTAAAGAAAGGCTGCATTTGCAGACAATACATGTCTGCTTTGAAAGGTACAGTCACTTTAGACTGGTGTGTAACTATGTACGAATGCTGTGTTTCACTTTCAAAAAATACATAGGCTAATTTAGACAAAAAAGGATAAAAATACCAAATGGCAAAAGACAAGAGGCATTTGGCAACAGCTGCACCACCCTCATCTTCAAAACAGGCACATTATTATCCACATGAACTACATAACCAGTATTGCTGAAATGATGGGGACTTTTTATTGCAACACACAGCGAATATTCACAAATCAGTGTTAAACATACCACCCACTAATTAAATGTACAAGAGCTAACTCCTGGATTGGGCTTTTCTGTTATTTCAGTTTTTTGTGTGGGGCTTTTCAAACTGTCTTTATAGACGATTAAGCACACTTTTTAAGCTCAGAAGAGAGCACAAGATGAGCTGGATTCATGCAAATCTAAGCTAAGTGCCCAGCAGAGGATGACCATCAACTTCCCCACTATCTCCGCATCCATGCAGAGTGACAGAGAAAGGAAAATGATGAGATGCCTACCCAGAACCAGTCTGTACACATTTCTATTCCCAAGGGAAGGCATTTTGATTACATCGACAAGCCATGACAAGCAGCAAAGCAGCAGCCCTACTGACAACCACTGGGACAGCACAAAAAAAAAGAGGTGGATTCCCTTTTGCCAGAAAGTTAACTGACATTTTACGTAAAGTGCACACCTTCAGCCTTCATTGTTAACTTATCCATTATTTTCTTCTAGTCTCCATTAAAGCAGCTCAGTAGGTTAAGTTCCATTCCTACAATTGTTCACAGGGCTTAGACCACTGCTGAGCTCTGTACTCAGATGGAGAACAGGATTCCACTTGTACATACTTTGGTACATTAGCATTTAAGTTCAGCTCTGGAGCAGCAAAATATTCATGTGCTGTATGCTGTTAAACAATGCCACAATTCTAATCTCACTCATTTGATCTGTGTCAAACAGAAGCACAATACACAGACCTTGAATTCACTCCAGGAAACAACAGATCTCTTCCTGTGGTCATTTTATTCTGTTGTTGAACAAAATGCAAATACATGAGGTTATCCCTCTAGATTCTCAAGAACTAGAGATGGAAGGGGATAAAACTGTCCCTTGACTGACAGGGTACAAGGAGACTCTACAGAAGTTTACATGGTGTTGCACTTCATCAGTTAACAATGGTTTTTGCAGATATACTGATGCATCAAAGTCTTCTGAAAAAAAATCCTGTTCTCCTCCAGCAGCATAAGCATGTAAATTTTTATGCATCTTTTAGCTAGAAAAAGGAGAACAGTTAAATGAAAGAAGCAAGAGGCTGTGAGCCAAGAATACTTCTAATCCTGTTGTGATTGAAAAGTTAACCTGAGTCTGCCTCTCCCCATGTGTAAAATGGGGATAATTAATCCTCACTTAACCATGTAAATTAAATAATGTTTCAACAGTGCTGCAAGTGCCACACATTAATTAATGCCTAGGTAATAAAAAGGAAAGAGACAAAAGTGGAGCACTTTGCTACTTACCTGCAAGTCAGAGGTTGTGCTGCAATTTTGAGTAGGAGATATATGGCACTTGGAAGATTAGACCCTAGCTTATTATTCAAGTCTTAAAGAGAAAGATTTCTCTCTATCTTGCAAGCACAACAGCTATCAAGCAGATGAAAGCCAGGCACACATTTTTCTGCATTTCATATCACCTCCTTGCAACACAATAAGCAGATGTAACTAAGGAAATACCATAATCAAATACCCATAACCAAAGGTAAAACAAACAATATGGGAAGATCCATACCTTGAACACCTTCCAGAAGTAAATCAACACCCTTTCTATAAAAGCTGAAAGCAGCTTCGTAGTCTTCTTCTTCCTCCTTTTTCAAGGCCAGCTTTATCAACTCGCCTGCTTTCTCTAAGTAATCTTGTTTGCCAGGCTTGGGTTTCAGGCTTCCAGAAAACAGACCATGGCTCTCCCTTTCTCCTTCAGGTTTGCTCCACTCCTGCTCAGATGCCACAGCGCTTTGTACTGGGGGCTCAGAAGTATGGCAAAGGCCAACAGCTCTACTGGGAGAACTGTGGTTGGATGCCATTCCATCATCTAATTCAGCAAGAGAGTCTACATCAACTGTCAAAGAGATCAGGTCGCTGTCACTGGAGAAGCCTGAAAGCACGACAAGACAGACATTTATTACTCTACATTATATACCGCAGGAATATTCAACATTCTTTATCACATTCAAATATTTTAGCCTTCTTTTCACCTTTCCAACTTCCGAAGACTTTGCGCACAAAAAGTTTCCAACTTAAAAATGGCTTTTGAGTAACCAGAGATATGGTTCTTTAAAAAGTTAGCTACAAACTCTGCAGAGCAATTCTTCATTTTAATACAGGGAAAGAAGAGACAAACATCTAACACCCAACTTTAACCTTCAAAGCCTGCTCACTGCTGGAGCCCAGGAAGCTAAACCTCCCTGTGTGATTGCTGTTAGAATAGCAGAAGCCAGATCATTGTTGCAAGATCTCTCTGTATATACTGTTTTAAATCAGTGAAATGAAACATCCCAAAATGATTCAATTAGGACTTCAAATTCACAGTTTGTCAGCTTCTGCATCACGCAGCACTCTAATTCATGACTACCATATATACTATTCTTCCATTGTTAAGATGTGCTAAAAAATGGATTACGCCTCTTTCACTGGAATTTCACAGCTTTTATTTTATTTTACATTTGCCACAAGCATACACACTTACTTCAAACTGATCTTCAGTAACTTCAAACTACAGAAACCTAGAAGAGTTATTTGGGAATAAGTGGCAAAGATATTTTACATGCACACCATTCTGTGTGAATCATCATCCACATAAGGTGTCCATCCATAATTATGACTCTTTAATAATTCGAACTCCACAAAACTAATTGAAACTTCAGCGCTCACCTCCACATTCCGACTGGCTTGTAAGCGTCACATCATCAAGTCCACTTAAGTCTTTCCGAACTGAAAAAGACAAGAACGATAAAAATGGTTCTGATACCCTTTTGCATAACAGATTAGATGTTCACTTGCCATCAAAAACAAAAGATATGGCCCTGCTGCAGGTAAAAGTATGTAATGTGAAACTGCTCTTGAACTGGCTATCAGAGATATCCATTTGGTAGCACACCATTGAAACTGACAGCAAAGTCAGACTTGCCATTTCTGGCTGCCACCAAGGTTAAAATCAGAACACAGTCATTTGCTTAGGATGGCTAACTCAAACCTCAGCACTCCAACCCACCTAATTTCAACAACAATAGGACTTTAATCCCTATCTCACACCATTGTAATGATTTACAGTTAACAAGACTTACAACAGAAGAGTCTTCAAAGCTGGGACCTACATCTACAAACTAAGAAAAAAATGCCAGGTTTCAGTCTCAAAAAATGTCATTACAGAATAGTACTCTGCATGAGACATATGGAGCGAGCAATGAATTTGGCAGTGCCACCTGGATATCACGTAGCAGTTTGTTTTATCACCTTGGCACATGTACCTACTGAAGCAATAAAACAAGCAAGAAGGTCAAGGCATTTAGCTGTTTGTACAAGCAACAAAAGTAAATTTTGAGCTAGAACCGGCTGTCTTGTTTTCTTCTGTATTATCAACAGAGTCAAGAGTTTATGCATGTTATCAGGAAAAGTATTCTGTCTTCTTCAAAAAGAATGTGTAGCAGCAAGGAGGTGACTCAAAGGTACCTAGCTCAAACTTTCATTTTGATTTTGCAGCTCTAGAGTTCAGAAGTGAAGGGGAGACAGGGAGGTTTACAATTTATGGAAGAGTAGAGAGAAAGCACACACATTTGCTAAGCACTGTAGAAATGTTGCTTCTCCAGAGCTAGCAAATCATTTAACCTAAGTGAGAGGGGAAAAAAAAAAAAGGCAGGAAGAAAAACAGATTACCAGTCATTACTGGGTCTAAAATCAAGCCATGACAATATTCAGTGGTGCAAGACTACTGGAGAATACAGGAGTGCACAGGTGCTCTCAAGACACTGCTCCAGATCTTTTCAGGGGAGGAAAACACAGCAGTGTTTACAATGAGAAGAAAACTGTAGCTTCATGAATACATAAAGAAGGCAACCTCACAACGGACCAGTTGGAGGAAGACAGAAGATTCATTAGGATATGAGTGATTAGGTATCATCTGCCGAAGTTAGAGATAAACTTAAATTTGGCTGTTCATGACTGAATTTATGAAATTACATTCAGAAGTGCCAAATGTTCTTCTTCAGTGAAAAAAAAAAAAAATCACAAGTTAGGGAATCTGCACGTGCAAACAGAGCTGACTGATGGACAAAGGTGAATGAATAGAAGAGAGTGAATGAATGGAAACAAGACCCTTGAAGGCCATCCAGTTCCAACCCTCCACCATGAACAGGGACCGCTCCCACTAGACCATGTTGCTCAAAGCTGCATCTAACACCTTGAATGCCTCCAGGGATGGAGGACCCACAGCCTCTCTAGGCAAGCTATTCCAACACCTCACCACTCTGTGAGTAAAGAATTTCCTCCTACTATCCAATCTAAATGTACTCTCTATTAGCTTAAAACCATTACCCCTTGCCCTACCACTATCAGGCTGTGTTTTGTGGAAAGGGTGCACTGGTCTCCCAGACTATATGAATCAGGACACATCTACAAAGAATATTTCAAACAGAGCTGTCTCCTGCAGCTGACTTGACCAGAAGCTGCACTAACAGAGCTAGCATGGCACAGAGCCTGAGATAATAAATTTTGCTTAGGGGAGTGGTATAAAACCCAGTTCCATCACCACACAAATCGCAGTCACAGGGCTTCCAACCAGCATGAGGGGTAGGAAAAGTCTGAACTGCATCTGCTTATTTCTGGAAGGAAAGCATGAATGTGGTAAAACCAGAAGGAAGAAAAAAAGGGGGAAAAAAAAGATGATGTTCCAAGGGGATTTATCTAAAGAATGTGGCAACTGGTATAGAAAAACTTTGGAGAGGGGGTTCGACAGATGAACATTGTCTCACATATCTAGAGAGGAAGATGAGTGACAGTCAGCAAGATTAGAAAGTACTGTGATGCTCTGAGATCTGCCCTCTTGAAAAGCACAGAGATCCTTGTAGAAGTATTTAAAGCATGAACTGTCAAACTGTTAGAGAAGCAGGATATTTATTGTTCATCTTGGTTCAAAAAAAAAAAGCCCATCAGTTTGATCCTTCTACCATTAACACGCATGTATTCTGCAGGGTGAACTTTGTCTTAAAAGAACAGGCAAAACGGAGAAAACACAACAGAACCTTATTAGCAAACACCAACTTCTGTTAAGCAAACACAAGCCCCTTCTCAGTAGCACAGTTTGGAGGAACAGTGCTCATGGGGAGGCTGTGTCAGCCCACAAAAACAGAGAACTAGTCCAAACTAGCTATGATAATCAGACTAGAAGAATTATATGCAAACAGGGAGAGGACTCAGAGCCGAGTATTGCCACTGCCATCTAGAGGCCTTAAAGACAGCTGTTACTTTCTCTCCCAAATCCCACTCGCCAACGTTTGGTTTCAAACTTAAGAAAGTATGAGTCGCAAGACATTAGTATACTTAATATCTGAAGGATACATGTATTACTTACAAATTTAAGTATATCTGTTATAATAATACATACTTACATGCTGTTACTCTCTTTAACAAATCCTATTTGCCAACATTAGGTTTCATACACAAGAAACTGTGAGCATAATTTTTAAGTATATCTTCTGGATTCTACTCAGCAGTTAAACCCTGGTGGCATCCAGGGCACGAACAGCTAAATAAGAACTCTCTGAAATGAATACAGCAATTCAAATCTTAGACCTATTTTTCATGCTCTGGGCAAACTCAAAGTTACCTAAATACTTATTGATCAATCTCAAAACGATTTTAAAGTTCCCTGCAAATTTTTACTACCAGAGACTTAAGTCACAATTCATCATGAATGCTACCAGATCACTTACCCAACCTTTTGGAATCAGGTGGGACTGCATACATTTACACCAGAGAGGTCAGTTCCCACTGATACCTGAAGAAGTTCTTTGGAACAACAGAGCAACAGGACATTTAAAGTGGACCAGACAAACTCCTAGAAAATGTCCTGTTATAAGCAAACTTCTAGCAGAGCAGACAGAGTTCTGCTGAGCCGAACTTTTCTTTTTTTAAATCCCAGTTTCAACTTATCTGTCATATCAAGCAAACAGAAACGTACAAATGCAGCACTTGTCATTTACACTTGTCATTTATGTGCTCTTTTAAAAGAGATCAAGGTATAAAGCCACATGACAGAAAGAAGCAAACCTTCAGAGCTGCAGTCAGATAGGTTGTCAGTCAGTGAGTCAGACAGAGGCTCAACAGGACCGATCAGTTCAGATCCATCATGTACCTCTCCACCCTGAAGAGAGGGAAAGAAATTAGTTGCTGAGCTCTATGGAAATCCCTTTATATAGCAGTGATATTCAAAATCAACTTTTCTAACCAGTAAATGTTCCGTGACTTTCAGTTAATGCACTTAATCAATCTATACATACCTGCAGAATTAGCTTGAAGTTTAATCCTAGTATCATTCTAACCTATTCAACAACCATGTAAAATAGCTGGTATAATTTCTCACAGACTTCAATAGGCATAACGCTGTAACGCAATAGAAAGCACAGCAATGACAGCATAGCAGCAAAGCCCCATGCTGCAGCAAGTGAGGATACGCTCAAATGCAGCAGCCACAGACAGAGAAACAAAGGAAAGAAGCTGCTTACCATCAGGAGGCCTCAAGTACACAGGGATCTCCTGCAAGATACCCTTGCCTCCACTGCCAACCCTTAAATGAGATCTGGAAAGAGGTGGATCATGGTTCTACCCCTTGCAGTCACCCAAGTGCACTGCATGCACCTGAGCTCTCCTGAGTTGGCCCTGCCTTCCCACCAGGTGCTCAATCACTGCTTCAAGCCCTGACTTTCCATTTCCACTACAAATGAGTGACAGTAAGCCTCACCAAATCCTTCTAGCTAAACTCCACGCGTTGCACAACATAAAACTAGGAAAAACTTCTCTGAAAGAGTGTTCAGGAGCTGGAACAGGCTACCCAGGGAGGTGGTTGAGACACCATTTCTGAAGGTGTTCAAGAAACATTTAGATGTTATAATAAGGAACACAGTTTAGTGGGGAAAATATTGGTGGCAGGTGGACAGTTGGACTTGATGATCTTGGAGATCTTCTCCAACCTTGGGGATTTTATGACTATGAAAATTCAGAATGCACTCCTTCTAAAGAACCAAAGCAAAACAAGGGTTTTTGCTCAGGCCACAGTTGCTTGCCACAGACCACTTAGGTATCAACTTCAGCTTCTGTGGTAACACAAGTCCTGAACCACACAGGCTGCAGCAGGTCTACCTACAGGATCTGGAGTTTTACATGGAGAGAACAGTGATGCTCCAGCTCTCTTATGGTTTGAGTCTGTGCCATTTCATGGTAATTCCCTAGGTCAGCAGGGCCCTCACACAGAAGTGTCTGTGGATCAGATTAATAGCCTAACCAGGATCTAATATCCTGAGTTTTGGACAAAAGAAGATAAGGCCCGGGCCAGCATATAAGGATAGTGTACCCTTCTAAGCCTGGAAAGCATTATAGGTAAAGTATCAAAAGAAACAGTTAATTGCATGAGGAAAGAGAATCACAGAATTGTAGGGGTTGGAAGGGATCTCCAGAGATCGAGTCCAACCCCCCTGCCAAAGCAGGTTCCCTACACCTTGGGTTTGTTTTTTTTTTTTTTTTTGCTGTTGCTTTATGTTTTGTTTTATGTTTATATTGATGTCATTTTGTCACTGTTTTTTTAATTTTCTGCTTTGCATTTCAAGTACATCCCTTCCATGCACTTTTATTATAAATGCACCACCTCCAAAGGCATTTCTAATCTGTCTTGAACTATTCCAGCACATTTCCACATCGGTAGTCTGTTTTCCTGGAGTCAGCAGTACATAGGTAGACACAGCATCTCCCTCAGTTCCTTCTAAGACTTCAGTGACCAACTCTATTTCTCCATGATTATATGCACAGAAATCTGACAAGCAACAAAACCACTCACACATGGAGCTGAAGGATTCTGACCTGGTGACTGATCAAACCATGAGGCTTTCTTACAGAAAAACATAACATAGCTTCAGCTACCGTGAGTTCAAGCTTGCATAAATCTCCTTGTAGACATATTTACTCCTATAAAAATGAATGCCATTTGAGGTTTGTTCATTGCCTCATAAAGTCAGAAAAGCCTTCACTTTTAGCCTTTTAGCTTTCACTGGAAGGCTAAAACCAATACCTCAGTTAAGCAAAAGATGAAAACGGTTCTAAACAAATATCCAAAAGCACGGAAGTATTTAAAAATAAATTTTAAAAAGTGTAAATGGAAATAAACTAAAAAATATTTAAATTCATTCTCCTATTTAGCATTACTTCCAATGCTTAACAAAAAATATCGTTATTATGCAATAACTGTTCCATAAACTCGGGTTGTAATTTGTAAGCCTTGCTGTAATCTTGCTTTTGCATGTATCATTTAAAGAGACTAAACATGTCAATACACTTTTAACCCAATCTAAACCAAATGAGCATTTATTTAATTTCAGGGAGTTATTATCATGTTTACAAGCAAATTGATGCTTATCTGCCTGTGGAATATTGGAATTAGCTAAGTACTGAAAATAAAGAGGTTTGAAGAATCTACTGAAAGTTAACTGCTTCAGATGTAATGAAAAGAAAGTCTCAACTCACTGTCCTAAACTGTATTCTGGTGAGTGGTTCTCATAACGCTGTGCAAGTAGCATATTTAACTAGTTACATGCCAAATTGATGGCAGAATTTTTATTGCTTCCCCACATCATCCAGGTTTAACATCACTGGTTTTGCTCATCATTTGGTAAGCAAGAATTCCAAATCCCTTCACCTAAAGTTCCTGTAGACCTTTCCACCTTAGAAGTATGATACACCTTTTTGGTTTTTTCCTCAAAGCTACATTTTGAGAGTAAATAGAAAACTGCCAGTTGCTTCAGAAAGCATGTCAGATCAGCTGGTTGGCATTCTATTGTTATAAACAAAGCAGAATCAGCAGTATACTTTATTCCTATCAATAAGGAAAATGCTCTTGCAAATACTAACAAACCTTAAAAAACTCTTCAAGCTGTTTGCTGCTGTAGAGAGCAGGGATATTAGCAGAAAACTGCAACAGGTCTTCAGCACATTGCCTTCTTTCTTCAATCACGGTTTCATCAAATCGCCCTGGAACAGACACGTGGATTGACAGTTTTAGAAATAACAAGATATTTATTCTGCAATAATAACCACCACAGAGTAAGCAAATATTTATTTAAAAATAAATAAATAAATGAATAAATAAATAAAGCAATGTTCTGGAGACAATGCCCTGAGCCAATGGAAGTAATTCCAGTGCTTCAGAAGAACACAGCAAATCTTCAACCTTCCTATTCTCAATTATCCCTAGAGTACCACCTTCTGCAATCCACATGCATGATGAAAGCTGGCAGCTACAACAAGAATCCTTCACACTCCCATCGTAAGAATATGTGAGGCAACACTCTTCATTAGCCAAGAGACACTAACGGATGTCCAGTGTTGTCTAACAGTAAATGATACGTGTGCAATTTGACAATATGCCAGTCAGTGTCAGCCTTGATTACAGCCCAAATCCTGTAAGGAGCTGAGCATTCTTCACGTGTTCTCAAGAACGATACATGACATGAGCAGAAAGCAGAAATATTGCTAAAAGCCCCCCAAACAGATAATTGATTCCAAGGTGCTATTTATGGAGACAAATCGCAGTGAGACAGGGAAGTCACAGCTCCAAGCAGACAGGGCCTCATCTGCCCTGGATTCAGGAGGTAATCAGAGCTGGGAGGCAGCTCATTTACCAAAATGTACAGTCCTTTCCTTTTTCCCTTCCCAGCACCCAAGACGTTCCAATTAGGAAAAAATAAAAAAATAAAAAAAATGTTTAAAAACCAATCCCACAGCTCACCTCAGAGATTTGCTTCTCAGGAGAAAGGACCCTTGCATTACTACCTTAAATCCACATTCTTCACAATTGCACACAACTTCTTTTAGCTTTTCATATCAACATCACTTTGTTGTTGAAATAGTTATAAGTTTACAAAAGGAAAAGGGCAGAGGTGAACAGTAATAATTGGAGGAGAATAGAAAAGATAGTTGAAACAGCTATACAGAGGGAAAAAAAAGGACTGGGAAGACAAGTTCAAGAAATAGTATTGCTATAACAGCATGACCAAAAAAATAAGAGCCACCTATAACAGCTCTGTGGCATTAACCTTTGAAGAGGACAAAAGATGCATTGAATACAAAAGCAAAATTCATTTATACTCAGAAGCAAAAAAAAAAAAAAATCCCAGAAGAAAATATCAAAGCAGGACTCTTTCTAGAAATTCTTCAAGTAAATAGCTCCTGCCCATGTGGTAACAGAAAAAAGAAAATAAAACTAGAAAGACATGTACATACTCAGAAGATCACAAACACAGCTTTTGGGGATTATTTTTTCCACGAAAAGAAAGAAAAGACATTGCTGGGCTAATTTTCAGCTGGATCAGCCCCATGATTTGTTCACCCCGGCCATTCAGCTGTACAAACATTAGCAGACATACAAAAGAGTGGGCAACAAGTAAGCAGAAAGAAGGCAAAGGCAATGCTATCACATTCAGTGGCAATGCTGAAATCAGGCCATATCAAACTGCTCATCAAACTTCAGAGGCCTTCAGAGCAACACTGTAGGAACATTATGGTTTTTGCCTCACACCAAGCAAAACAGGATGTCATGAAAAAATAATTTTCCTTAATAAAGCGTAACAGCATGAAATAAATTAATCTACAAAGTAACACAGATGCTAATGCAATGCATCAGAAAATTGATTACAAAGAAATCAGCAGCTAACAAAGTCAGAAATGTACAATCTGCACAAAAAAGTGATTCTGTAAGACACCATTCCTGGTTTCCCAGGGATCCTTCTCTCTCCATTATAGGCCTTCATCAAAACAATTAAGAAGTGGTTTTCTTCTTCCTCACCTTCTCCAAGCTTCCATCAGGCACAGGCAACATGCACTCAGGCCTACAAGGCTGAACATGCTCATGCTCATGTGCAAGTCCAACAGGCAGCAGCTGGCTCCTCCTTCCCTTAGGAAGACACAGCATGGGCACACTACTCACTGGGATGCTGTTTCACACACTTCACAGAAAACATCATTAGGCACCTCATCTCTCAAATTCAGCTGATCCACGTGAGCAAGAGATTTGACTTTCTGACAGTGCAATTATGTAAGCCTTATTTTCTTAGGGAGCTGAGCAAGAACAAAATTCACTAAGATGTATGTTGGAATAAAGCCACTGAACCATTAAAGTCACTGTCACATTTCCTGGCTCATCAGCACCACGATACACTAACAGGACAACCAGTTTCAGAATAACAGGACTTCTTGGGATGGAAAAATATTATTTGGCACAGTTCACAGACTGTCATCTTTGCAGCAGTTCCATGCCCAGACACCCTTACTGAACTCCTTCACACTCCCCTAGTTTTCCTGTTGTGCTTTGGCTGGTCTCTCCATTCTCAGTAAGACTTTCAGAAGTACTGAGATACCTCATCTGACTCTTCAGACACAGTCTAAATGATATCTTCCTGCACCTACGTCAATGTAATTTCCACTGCTCTTCACGTCTCTTAGACAAATGAAAACTTCATGACAGAGATCATAGCTTTCCAGAGTTTTAGGAAATCTCAAGCTCAGTTTCATCATACAACAAATGCATTAACATCATTGGGCTACTCCTCCAGCAAATGATGCTTTCAGAATTTCCTATGAGCATGGAAATCAAATGTAAATTTCTGTTACAAGATTTCGCCATTCTGTTTCTGGAGCAGATCTGAAAAACAAAGTACCTAGCAAAGTTTCTGCTCACAGTGCAGTTTCTCACAACACTTCAGACCACACATGACACCTAATCCTTAAACAGGTTCCTTCATTTGGTATCATTACCTGAGCTTACTATGGTCTGAATGATCACCCATAACATGGGTGGAAAAGTTCATTCTACTTTTTCTATTCCTCACTGGATTTATTTTTCCCTCACCCATACCAAGTTTCATATTTGGAAGCGAGCAGCTTAAAAAAAACCCCACACTTGCAGATCATAATTTTCAAAAGCTGTGCTGCAGAATGTGCAAGGCAGCTCAATTCTGCAGGTGTGACACATCTTCAGTTATCCCAAATACAACAGCACAGCGTGGCTGATCCATTTCTAAATCCTTCCCAGTACTCCACATCACCTCCTGAAACTCTGAATGCTACACTTGAGGTTCTGCTGAGGTTTAACACTTTCAGAACAAATAAGCTCAACTGTCTAACAGTGCCCACTTGTAAAGTATACTCTCCACAAAACAACACGTTACTTAAAGTATGTGCATTTAAAAAAAAAAATGAAACTATGCCATTGGCAACTATTGGCAATGTTTATAAATAACTAATTTAAAAACTGCAACAAAGAAAACATCACCACAGTGAAAAAACATTTCAGAAATGCTTCGATAAAGCAGCCTGAAAAGGGAAGCTCTTAACAGAGGTGTGCTTAGCAGCTCACCTTTAACTGAACAAGACTGAAAAGAAGTTTGTCAAAAACTCAGCATCCACAAAGGCTACATGTTTCTCTAATACAAAAAGCACTAGGACTGAAGATACATGCTGTAGGTGGCAATAAGACACACAGCACCTATTACGAAGTAGAAGAAGCATGGAAGGAGCTGTTGTAAAATTTTATGTTTTAAATGAAGATAAATCTTAAATTGGAAAAAATAGGACATTTCTGTTCCTTTCTGCTATCTATGAATTATTTAAAACTTGTTTTTACTTCATTTTTTCTTTCCTGTATTTTTCATTCAAACTTAGTAAGTTTTGCTTAGTTTGGTTTTTAACTTCAAAGAGTGTTTTGTCAACAACTACTCTGAGTCCTTCTGCAGATTTCCCTCTCTTTGAATGTATGCTGCAGTTACATTTGTTTGTTCCATACAAAAGAAAGATTTTAAGGGGATTTAGTTCTATTTGTCCCATGTTTATAGACAGTAACAGCTCCCAAATCTGTATTTCTGACAATTAAATTACTTTAGAAGTAATTAGAAGTTTGCACTCTTTTCAACCTCCATTTTAATTTCTCTTCTCCCTCCCTTGTGAATAGATACCATACCTTCTACCTAACATTACATTACAGATTGCAAATGTTGGCTCTGTGAATAACTTGTCCAGCAAGCACTCTAGTTTGTAAATGAGACATAAAAATAATCTCAAGATGAAACTAATAAGGCACTCTCTTTTTAAACATCAGTGCACAAGTTCTGACAGAACAGTGAAGCTTACTCCTCTTCCAACCTCATAAATAAGCCATAAAAAGACCCAAGAGCTGAATGCAATGTACCTGTTGTGAAAGACGAACTAGGAATTTTACACAGCTCTGCACAGAGACCCATGAAGTCTACACCAGAGCTCAGCCTCCTCGCCCATCACTTGAACATTTCTAACAATAGCAGGCTAAGTCAGTACCTCCCCGAGAGTAGTTTGCACACAGCCTGCAAGCCAACTTCCACTTGTTTATGTTCACATATTCTTTAAAACATTCCAGCACCATCCCTACATGCAGCACAGTGAACAAGAATAAGCATGGTAGCACTAGGTAGCAAAAACTCTACATTTGGCAGAATTTGGTCCTGAAACTAAGGGAAAAGTTGTGCTTTGAAGGTGGAGGTTTTGTCTCCACAGGAGTTTCCTACTGTTTCTCTGACACAGGAGGAAAAAAACGGCTGCCAGCAAATACTGCTACAGTGCCACAGCCCAGAGCTGCACAACAGCACTGCTGAATGAAGGGTGACTGAACCACCTCTGCTATGGCACTCCGTGAACTGGCAGGTCTGCCTATCTCAAAGTCACAGGGAGTTGGGGCTTTTTGTTATTTTCTTTTCACGCTTACCATAAGAAATCATAATTTAAAACAAAAAATGCACCAATAAAAAACACAGTGCAATATAAAAAGAATAAACAATGTAGATAAAGTATGAAAAGAACAGCAAAGTGCAAGAAAAGGGAAAAAAAGTGTTAAATGCATGCAAAAACACCATACAAGGAAAAAAACAAGCAAAAACACACACTAGATGCACATCAAAACATAGTACATGTGAAAAGATGAGCAGTGAATGGTAAAAATGTCAAATGCATGCTAGAGGCTGAAACACACTAGCAAGGGACAAGGAAAAAATGTGCAAAAGCTTATGCCACATGCATGCCTACAAACAGTGCATGAGGAAAATGTGGAAACATGCAGCAGCTGCACGTTGGCTGCTTAAAAAGACACATGAAAAATAAACACAAAAAAAGAGCAGACCTAAGGCCCACCCAGCTGAGAAATGCACCGCATCCAAAGATGCACAAAAAACCACACACATAGATGCCAAAAAATGGAGAAAAGGTGCAAAACTGTACACGAGAGGCATGCCATGAAACTTGAAAAACAGTGAACGCACAAACATTAAATTCCAAGGAAAAAAAATATGAAAAATGCTGTGAGAAGTGCAACATGCACAGGAGGCACACAACTTGTTAAAAATACAGTACGATACACTACACAACAAAAAGGCTTAAAGCTCAAGATATTGCACATCCAGCAAGATAAGGTTCAAAATACAATGTTACACAACAGGATATCACATTTTAATGTTCAAGTTATTTTAAGTCTTAACACTCGGGAGGATTGGATGGCCTTTTTGGTTGGTTGGTTGGTTGGTTTTTCCTTGAGAGGCACAGAATGTTTTTTTCTTTAGTAGCTGACAGTGCAATTGGTTCTGTATGGAGTTCTATACAGAGCCATACTGCTTCAGTGAAAATCCATCTATGGCTACTTGATGATTTCCATCTGGATTACGATAAAACCCTTTTTGGCTAAGTAGCTTTTGCCACATATTTTTCATGTAGAGTCACAGCCCTCTTATGTATAATTAATAGCTTTATGTAATACTGACCTCAAAGGAGTATACAATTGATAGTTATAATTAAATATAACATATTTTCTCCAACATTGTACTTCTCCGTAACTCATCAATAAACAGTTTATATATGATAGTCTTGTACATTGTTCAAGCACTGTTCACAAAGCTAATACAAACAACGTGCTCCTGAAAACAGGAACTAATGTTTAACAGATAAAGAATCCTTAGAGTTGGAAGGGGCCTTTAAAGGCCACCTAGTCCAACTCCCCTGCACTGAACAGGGACACCACAGCTAGATCAGGTTGCTCAGGGCCTTATCCAGTCTCGCCTTGAAAGTCTCCAGGGACAGAGCATCAACCTCATCTCGAGGTAATCTGTTCCAGTGCCTCACCACCCTCACTGTAAGAGACTTTTATAGAACATATTACGTCAACAAACATAAGTGCTTATTTCTCTAAAATGCACAAGCACATAAGTAATTCCATTTAAAAATAATAATAAAAATACCAAATTGTGAAAGCAGCCCACCTATCGGTAAGACACTCACAACAAACCAAAAACACTGAGCTCAAAAGCACATAGGAAAGACTTCTCCACGCAGCTGCAAAACAAAATGTACTCATGGATTCTGAGTTATCAATACATTTCAGCAATTCAGGAAGAAATCATGCTTACCAAACACTATTGCTTTGGCAAAAGGTGGAAAGAGTTCTGTATGCCTGCAGAGGTTCTTATGAATTTGCCAGAGATCTTTGTGCAGCTTCTTAAAGTCGCTGTATCTCTTCCAAACGACTATCTGAAGCACAGAAAGAGGTGGGGAGTATTAGTAGGGTTGTTGTTCAAAGCACAAATACATTTTCAAGCAAATCAGATCACTACCTTCAGCAAACACATTTAGCAAAAATATACAATCTGAACTGACAAACGTAACAATCATAAACAATAGTGATTAGGTACCTGTCCCCAACCCCATTTTGGCTAACAAGACTGCAGCGTACAGACTAAACATTAAGGAAAAGGAGAAAAAAGGACACAGAGGGTGAAAGCAGCAATGTTTCAGCCACGATGCAGACCAGTTACAAGGAGACACTAAGAGAAGGAAAAAAAGAAAAGCTAAATGGGAGCATTTCACTATCCAAAACTCAACAGCATGCTGTGCTTGGCGCAGGTATGGGGAAGAGACAACAGCAAGAGAAAACTAGGAAAAATAGATCAGTACAAGTAAAGGATTCTTACGGAATCTTATAGACAGAGGATTTTTTATGGATAGAGCATTAAGCACCAAGGACTACAAACTAGCTGATTTATGCATCTACATAAAACGCTGATCGTGTGCAAATGCAAGTCCAAATTTTTTATTACTAATAATCATGGTAAAAAAATTGAACAATTCTTTTTGTACTCTAGACTTCAGAAATGCAAGGACAGCATTCATTACAATGGATTTTCCTGATCTGCCCTTTTCAGAAAGAAGTAGCCATCTTGCAGCCAGGTATCTACATTATCCTTCTTCCATCCCATTCTTTGTATCCTGCCATTTGAGAAAGAAGGAAACCCAGTAGGAAAATCAGATCAGGAGAAAAATCAAGCAACAGAATTTGCATTTGACTGCTAACGAGTTTGGTAACTCCTTTCCTAAGATTTAGGAAAATAAATTAAGAAAAAGAACAAAGGCATTTTTTGCTAGACTCATTAAGCCATGGTAATAAAACTCAACACTAATGCAAAGAGACTAGTATAGAACAAAGAACAACAAGGAGGGTGTAATAAATTCATAAGTTGATTCCAGTGTTCCTTCAGTCACAAGTCTCAATCAAGTGAACACAACTAAACACCATTTTAAATATTCCATACATTTATGGTTTAACCAGTTGCATTCTCATGAGCAATCATAATTGAAAAAAATTTACTTTCCTCAAGGAGATCAGATTTAGAGAGAAGTAAAAGGTTTGATTTTAGAGTAATTCTTTTTTTCTTCTTAAGCACCATGTCAGAGGCCTTCCAATTGTCAGTGGATGCAAGTCATACCTACAGAACAGTGCAGATTTAAGGCAATAGGACCGTTAGGAGTGTATATGTAAAGCTTTACCATAGCAACACTCTATTCACCTCATCAATTTAGTTATGTGTAAAGTAGCTGTCCTGACTCAGCCCCACCTACCTACCACACACATGCATCCAGAACTCAGCTGCAATTAGTATTTGATGGAGTTCAACAGGCAAGGCAATTAAAAACAGAATCTCTCAAGAAAGTTAACTAGTGATTTGACTTCCAGAAACAATAATTCTCTACTGCTGTACTTCCATTTAATCCAATATCCACAAAGTGGGTGATCAGCACTTACTGAGTTTCTTAAGAAAGCAAAGTCACAAAACATCAAGCTGCAATATAGTCAGTATTTGGAGACACTGAGAAATGTTGCCAAAAATTAAGAGCATTAAATTCTGTTCCACTACAGAGTATTATTTTTTGCTGCTGCAAGCGTTCTCCCAGTAGCCAGGAGGAGAAAACATAAAAGGCCTGTAAAGCAAATGAGTGAAGGTCATCCTAAACTCTTTCACAAGCTCATGGAAATCATGCCTTTGCATGCACACAGCTCAGCAAAGTTAGCAAAGCTCCCACTGTAATATACTCTTCAGAAATTGGATTTGGAGGAAGGACGTGTTATACTTTGAGGCCCAACAAAGCACACCAAGTATATCATAAAACAGGAATTAGACTTGTAAGGGAATGTGTGTGCTCATCATAGCTAGAGCCACTGTATCTCTATTAACTCATCTGATCTCTGCCTTCCACAAAAAATAACCCTTTCTCATCAGCAAATTATGGATGAAAAAAAAGAAAATCAACCATGGACTGCCCTAACTAGAATGACTTCATATGCTATGTTGCTATCATCAACACACAGAAGCAAGGAAACTGAAATGAATGCCACAAGCCCTTCAGTATCTGTTAACTCCTCCACATACAATTTTGCATTAACGTCATTCTTCTGAGAAGAAATCCCTTACAAAGTTACCTTCCTTTCTGTCCCAGCCATAACAGGTGAGGACATTCTGAACTCTAGTTGGCTGCAGCGGGAGAGACTGTGCACTAAAGGTATTCCAAAGTGCAGTTAGAAGAGCTGACAGAAAGCAGAATTGAGATGACTGTACATGGCCTTACATACAGCTGCACATATGTTACTCATTTATTAGCATCACAGCAGTGCCATTAAAAGACTTCTGAAAACGTAGGCAGGCATGGCCAAGTGGGAAGTGGTTGCACAGAGAGGCCATAAAGTAAGAGGGTTGCTGAATATACAAAATTCTGTCTGTTGGATTTCTAAACAAGTATTCCAGAAAACTGAGATAATTTATTTTCAGCAGGAGCAGATTAGAAGCATCTTTTTTTTTTCTTTCAAACACTGCCCACAGGTCTTTCACTTCACAGGAGATCACTACAACAGCAAAGCTCCCAGTGTATGTTGTTTTCCCACTATAATTCTAGCAACTACAGTCTGCAGTCTTGCTTTTAGTAACTAGGAACTTTCAGATGCTTGCTTATAACAAAACTGCATCACACTAGCACACTAGCACATGCAAAATAATTACTTTGATATAGTACAAAGTGGAAAAATTATCAACTAGTTCATGGCACATTTACGTTCCCATGTTGACTAGAGTATGTGGAATCCTGCGAGGCTAGCCTGCACTATGAAGTAAAGCAAGGACTGAAGGATATGGTTTTGCTGTTTTTTTCAAAATTATTTAAAATATATTCATGCAGTACACTAGCTGAAAGACACTCAATGTATTTTACTGATGAACAGCTCATCAACAGCTGCTATAAAGTGTTTCTCCCACAAATGAAGATTAATGTACTGGCAGAGGGTGCACACGTGTAGGCTCAAGTCAGGAGTCTCTCTGGAAGAGGAGACTGAGCTACAAGCTACAGTCACACAGGTCTACCACTAGCTCTGTGATCACTCTGATTCTGATAGACTTTTAATCTTCTATAGCTTAAGAAAAAAAAAAAAAAAAAAGCCAGAAGCATGAATGCTCATGCTTGTCTCATCCTCAAGAATTCAAAGAAAGATGCAACAAAAGGGTATTGGGTGTAGCAGGCAAGTCTCACCTCTGCCAAGCCACTAATCAGTAACTCATGTCTGACCATACAGATGCAATGAATTCATCTATGGGCTCTTCTTTCATCAACTATCCAGGTTCTCCTCAACTGTGGTAAGAGACTGCACCAGAAATTCAACATATGCATGTTACTCAATGTCTGAAAAGCCATAAGGTTGTGCTTTTGAAGGAAGATACTGCATGTACATCATAATAGTATCAGCAATGTCAAGTCATTAGTCTAAAAGAAATCAAGAAGGAAACAAAAAATAGATTTTCCAAGGCATTAAAGTGATACAAGGCTTATTCAGAGCCTTTTTGGAAGAGGCAAAGAGCAAGCAATTCAGAAGTTTTATCAAAGCACATCATGGGAAAATACTTAAGGATCCTCAAAGGGAGACGCATAATATATGACTTGTAGTCTGATCTCCCTCAATTACTCCCACGTGCCTCCATTTTCCCTGCTCACTAATAGCCAGTAATGATGTAGGCTTTTCCATGAAGTATTGGTTAAAGAGGACTATAATACCTACAGCTGAGACCTAAGACTTGGATTGCAGACTGATCTCTAATTTTACCAGTAGGAGTTAAGTAACCATCAATTTGCCAATTCCAGACCTGAGAAAAGAGCTTGCAAAATTATCAAAGCCTTCTTGTCATCAAAAGATACTTTACTTCCTAAGACTTTGTTTCAAGTCACGTTCATCACTGAGGGCAGAATTGCAACATGTTACACCAGCCACTGTTTTCAAGTATGAAAGTAAAAAACAGATGGAAACATACAAAAAAAGAGTTTGCACAATTACGATGACAAAATACACAGAAATTGCTAAATTACATCAAAGATACTTCAAAAGGCATAATGTGATATGTAAAGACATTTGTACAAGTTTAAACTGTTACCTCCTGGACATCCTCTGGATTTTTTCTCGAAACAATCTGAAAAGGAAAACAAAAACATTAAGCGCTCAGCTTTACTATTCCAAATGGAAACACGCAGTGATTTGTTGCTGAAAATTAAAACCTGGAAAAAGGCAGGCACTTGTATATTTCTCCTTGCACTTAGAACTGTTTTCATTAGTTTCACAGAAGTCTAATATCCAAACACAACACAGTAGGGAGTTCCAGCAGCAGAGATGGTTGCTGGGATGAGAAATCAAGACGGACATTCCAGGCAAAATGGCAGAGAAGGCATCTCACAGAACAAAGCTGCACAGAGTGCACCCCCCTCATCTTTCTCATCTTCTTCTATTATTTCATATTTGGGTCACATTACTCCCACTAAGCAGAGCTAATTAAGGCTATGCTTAGCGTAATACAAGTCACTCACTGCCTTGCTGTGAATGTAAGGCTTTGTATTCATTAAGACAGTATTTTCACTTCACTTACAGCCATCAACGTGCACACACAACTAATTCCATCTTTCTGTATTTGTTTCTGCTTAAACGCTCTTTCCCTAATTAATTATAAATGACTTTGTCCAGAGGAAAACCGCAGTGAAAATGAGGCTTGACTGCACACCATCAAGAAGCCTGTGTTTTGTCAGGATTTCTTTCCATAAATAAACATTGACTGCAAAAAAGCCTTCGTAATCCAAGTTCTGCATTGGTCACACCAGTAAGAGCACATCCACACAATCAAACACATTGAAACCAGGTATCTTTATTTCATAACTGCAATTACCTTGTGTCAGTCAGTATATCCTTCATTATAACTCAGCCAAAGCCATTTAGCACAATAATTAGCCCAGTGTTAAATAAACAGGGCACTCTCACCCCAAACTCAGACTATCCGCACACTGACACACCCCAAAACAATTAGCACTGTGAACTGGTGACATATAGGGGCAAGTGGAAGGAGTTACATAGTTCCACAGCATAGAACACCATCTCACTGGCCTCGGGCATCACTCAGTTGTCAGTCCCTTGTAACAGACTGCACTGACAAACCTTTCCTCAGCTTTTCCTCAATCCAAGGAAATCTGTGACTAATGTCACATTTGGCAACTTGACCAAACTTTAACCTTGTGGCTGTGCTACCTCATTCACTACCAGCCAGTTCCTGTGTACTATTTGTGAACAATTCCGACTCTTCTTTTCCAGCAGCTGGCGTACTTGATGTAGGGAAGCTGCAGAGCTGAGGAAGGAAGGTACCACAGGTACGGCTGTGCGTCAAAAGGAGACCAAAGGGCGTGCAGCAGCTGTTTGGCTTTGCAGTTCACCTTTAGTTAAAGTCTTACACCAGTTCTGGCAGCTAGGAAAGTTACCAGATGGGCAGAAGGAGACCCAGAGAGATGAGTAATTACCAGCCAGTTAGTAAGAATCTGGAATAAAACCCAGAGGCCCTGTTCCACACTTGTTATAATGTTACATTGCCTTCTATATCTACCAGTCCTGCCAATTTTAAGTCAGTATGTAATAATTAATGCTTCTTCCTACTTTGTTCTTCATATCCTTTCCTGAAGGTCAACCCCAAAAGAGGTCTTCCCCTTCAACCAAACCTACAATCAATCCAGAGACTTGCCAAAAAAAACTAACCCCCAAGTTTTCAATGCACATTTTTAGCTCTCCCACAAGGATCAATGCAATTGGCTCCTTCCGCAAATCTTTAATGCAAGCAACTTCCATCTATTTTAAAAATATCATTGTGATACCCATCAATGAGCTGAGCAATGCATAACTACTGCATTATGATCTGAAAAGAAAAACTCTAAAAGGATCTCATACCTCACCTTTGAGCCATGTATTTCAGAATAGCCCATTCCTGCAGATAGCCAATGCAACTCAGTTGAATGTTAATTAGTAACTGTAATCTGCTCAATTTTCTGAACTTTTATGAGTAGCCTACATTTTCAGATATCATATAAGCAATTCTGTTGCTATCATCACTTCCTGATACTTCTCTCTGTGCTTACCAAATCTACTCTATAAATACGTGGCCTCAGTATAGTTTCAGAAAGGATTCACTCACGCACCATTGAAAGGCATCTCCACTAGCACACTTAGTGCCCTGGGTTTGTCAGAAAGGAATTCAATGCAAGGGGAAGACCCACCCCACTTTATTCCTGCTGGTCCCCCAGAGTTGCTGAGCATCAGCTCAGCCAATACAGCTGTAGTGCTGCAATATCAACCATGGAGCCAGAGCACTGCAGGAACAGGAGGGAGGAATAGGAGGGGAGAAAAAGGGACTGCAGCAGATATGTTCACTGAATTATTTTTAAATCATTTGTCCAACGTCTAACACTTCAAATCCTCGCTTCAAGTACTACATAATAGATTACCAAATAGAGACCCACTGAGGTGAGACAAATGCTATTTGTATTTCTACATTTGTTCGTACAACACATGCTTTGCTGCATAAATTAAATAATTTTGTATTTCGAGGACTTTCAACATCCAAACGCAGCAAAGAATGAAATATCTCTGGTTAACAGCTTAGTTTGGAGAGATCAAAGGCTGACCAACTCTTTGTTCTGCAGGAAAACCACGGCAGCCCGCATGCTCCCCAATTCTGAACTGCATCTCCTGGAAAACCATACCACCAGCATGGCTCCAACTTACAGGACACAGAGACACACTGTCATTTCTTGCTAGTTAACCACAGCCTGTTCCTGAACAAGTCTGCAAGTACCAAAACATCACTTACTTTGCCATCTCCCACTCTGCACTGTGTCCACCATTACTCTGTCCCCGGCGTAGAGCACTCCTTAGTCGAACACCACCAGCCAGGTGACCGGCCACCAGCCAGCCCCATTCACTGCAACCCTTTGAGCTGCCCCACTTGCTTGACTTACAGCATAGCAGGACTGCCCACTGCTGGACTTTAAAAGGTGGTGCTTGTAGAGTGACCAGCTTGCATGGAATCCCCCCAAACCTTCCAAAATTGATTCCCAGGGAACACTGCTAGCTCAGGTAGGATAAGGTTTCCTTTCCTGAAGTCCAGAGTGGTAATGCTGACCTTTCTTCTCTTCCCTCCAAAACGTTTGAACATAACCACTGCAAAAAGTGCTGTGGACAAAACATTTCTCCCACAGGGCCTTCCCTGTTCTCAAACAGCTCTAGGAGGACACTTTTCCCCCTTAGCTGTCTCACTTATTTCTTGCGACAGGAAATTATCTTCAACTTGCTTTGGGAATTCCCTAGACTCAGCTGTCACAGCAGTTTGTGTCTGAATAGTTGAAGTTTCCCATAGGGATGAGTTCAGCTGATGCTACGATTCCCCCTAACTGCCTACAGAATAGCTCATCTGTACTACCATCATGGAAGGGACAGCCAATAGCAGACACCCATGACAACATCTGCTTTGCGATTCATCCCCTTAATCCTCATCCAGAGGCTCTCTGACTGCAAGCACAACCTAATCTTTCTCTTTTAGATTAAAATCTCTGAGGAGAAAAAAAAACAAAAAACAAAAAAAACCCACAATCTTTATCTGGCTCTTAATAAAAAGTAGTTTATTTGACTAAAAAGTATCCAGCACATCCCATATCTGTGTTTGCATTAATACACATCTGTAGATTGCTCCCAAAGTAACGTCTACAATTTATTTCCATAGAAAATACAACAAAGAACACAACAACACTCTTTGACAGTGCAAATTCTCAGCTACAAACCACTATTTTTCAACTCAGTCACCACCATTAACTATGTATATTCACTAGCAATGAACAAGAGCCTGCATAAGCATGGCTGCCCAGAATGCTGCTTGTCTTTCACATTGTTTTCATCTCTTCTGAAACACACCACCCACCACCTCACATGCTCACACCCACTCTTTGATCTCCATCAACGTTCAACAAGTGTTGGTGACCATTAGTGGGTGCTAATTTTTCCATATGGAGGAATTAAATTCCGTACCTTTACCTCATGCACTCCCATGTCAGACACCATTTTGTCAGAGTGCCCCTCTGCTGCCATCTGTTACACGGCAACAACATGTAATGGGATACTGGTGGAAAGGTTCACCCTCTGCTGCCATACCACCAACATATGCCTCTGACATTGTGTGCCAACACATCAGAATAGGAGACACTACTTTTGGAGCCCTCATTTGGGGTGGGGGAGCAGGGTAGGGAATAAGATTAAAAATAGGTTTTTAGTTGTACAAAATGATTTCATGCAATGTGATCGTGCTCAACCTGAGTGCTACAGCATAAAGACATGTACAAAATGCCAAGGTTAGGGGGATACACGCAGGCACATTGTTTTCCCAGGCAGAACACCTACAGCCACAGCACCCACACGACCACAGCCATCTGAACACACCCTGTCCTTCCTGGTGGTCTCAATACACCCACCAACCCATGACCTGAATTCCCACTCCTCTCGCAGCCTTCTCCACGTATTTACATACTCCTTCTCCCTACTGGGCTTCAATGGGAAGATGGAGGCGACAAGCATCCAGCACCGTCACAAGGCAGAGGCCCGAGCCCACACAGCCCTGCAGACAGGGGTCCCTGCACAACTATTCCGGCCCAGCGGCCCCCCAGCCGGCCGGGAAAGGCGAAAGGAAGGGCTGCGGCCGCCGGCGGGGAGCGGGCAGAGGGCCGAGGCTGAGGCCCGGGCGGTGGCGGCGCGGCCCCGGGCGGCGCTGACTCACCCGCGCCGTGACCCTGTAGACGGTGTGCCCGCGGGGGTGCCGCCGCGGCTCCGTCACCGTGTAGAAGCGGGCCAGCTCCCCGCCGCGCTCCCGCGGGCTCAGCATGCTGCCCGCCGCCGCAACGGGCCCCGACCGCGGCGGAAGCGGAGCCCCCGAACGCCCCGCCCCGCCCGGGCGGTGCAGGGCCCGGCCGCGCCCTCCCGCCCGCCGCCTCGGGGAGCCCCGCCCGAGGGCCGTAAGGGAGGTTGTGCGGACTTCCGCGGGCAGGGGAGGAGGCGCGACGGAGCGGGACGTTCCCCTCCTGGGACCGATCTGACTGAAGACGGATCACGCGCCTTCAGATTTCCTTGTGAAAGCCCGGAGAGCTCAGCAAGATCGGGTCGGAGGAGCTCAGTGCCTCCAAATGGAATGTTGTAGCATCCACGCACAGCTGCTGCTCTGAGCAGTGCAATCCCAATAGGAGTCATCCTGTGTGGAGATATACACCTCATAGGGCAGAAATGGCCGAAAGTGACTTTCATAGCACCCTGTCTCTCGGATTTATCTGGATTACTTTGGCGTTCCAAGCTATCACTGGTCCCTCACTACAAGAAACACATTGAGGCCCTCGAGCACGTCCAGAGCAGGCAAGGAATTTGTAAAGGATCTGGAACACAGATCTTATGGGGAGCTGATGGAGAGAACATTGTAGAGGAACCTCAGGAGATACTCCATTGCTCTCTACAACTGCCTGAAAGGAGGTGCTGGCAAGGTGGGTTCAGCCTCTTCTCCTGGGTTACTGTGATAGGATGAGAGGGAATGGCCTCAAGTTACATCAGGGGAGGTTCAGGTTGGATATTAGGAAACATCTCAGCAATAGCAGCGAGGCAGTGGCACAGGCTGCCCAGGGAGGTGGTGGAGTCACCATCCCTGGAGGCGTTCAGGGAACGTGGAGATGCGGCACTGAGAGATGTGGTCAGTGGGCATGGCGGGGGTGGGTTGGCATTGGACTAGATGATCTTAGTGGTCTTTTCCAACCTTAATGATTTTATGATTCTGTCAAGTTGCTAGAAAGATTCTTTATACTTTTATTTTCTAAGAACTGTCTGGTCTACCCTGCTTTGGGTAGACACTTTCTTAAGAGATGAGGAAGAGAAGGTGACATGGATAGAACCTCACCTGCCACACCCACTTATCTTTAGAGAGAAGCATGTCTTTTATGTCTTTGACAAGGTGGTATATCCAACCTCATGCAAGTAAATATCAAAAGAATTACTTCAGAGATAAATTGGTATTGATCACCATCCTTCCAAAGTAAGTTTCCAAGTCCCAAAGCTAAAGACAAGCAATGAAATCCATTGGATAGTGAATGATTTCTTATACCAATGATAATGTGGCTGAAGTTTCATTAAAGGAAAAATTCCAATACAAGATCTTCTGGTTGGAGTAATTTTAACGTACATACAAACTCTAAGGTTTTGTTTAAATTTGAAAGGAAGGGGTTAGAATGACCTCAGGATACTTTATTATTCTCATCTTCTGTAATATTAGCTGTGAAAAGTTTGCAGCTGCTCCGATTGCATTGATGGTAGCATAAATCCAGAGGACACACTTGCTCAAGGAAACAAGGAAATGTCTTCCAGTATGGCATACTAAGTATTTATAACATGCAGCTCATACAACCTTCCAGTGCAAAAACGTGATTAAACAACCACTTCCAACATGAAATTGCTTATGAAGTGGTCCTTACTAATTACATCTTATAAGATGTGGAAGTTCTGAGGTTTTAATGGTACCAACAGAAATCAGTGGTACTGAAGGCATCACTGATTAATTTCTAGTGAATGACATAGCAGGACATACATAATTTCAAAAGCTAACACTTCTGCACCTTCTGAGAAAAACATGCCAATTTTAAATCTGTCTTATTCAAAAGTTAGTTTGGTGGGAAGAGGAGCAGAGAAGCAGCAGTAGGAGTTCAGTAGATAGAGAGGGATGTGTTGCAACACTACAGTTCTATGGCTGGACTAAGCTTTAGATATTTTGTATAGTCAGAGAATATATAAATATTAGAACTAGGAAACATCAGAAGGAGGAAAATAAAATAAAAATAATCAGAGACATGGAATAGTTTTTTGTTTTTGTTTTTTTTTTTTTTCATTTAGAACAACAAAACGGTCTGGGGGGGGTTTGGCAGGGAAGAAGAAATAACACAAAAGGATATGTTAATGGTCCACAGAATCATGAGTTGTATGGAGAAGATGGATGGGAGTGCACTGCTTAATGTCTCTTTCAACACAGCCAGAGGCTGATAGGAATTAGATAAATAGATAAACAAGCTTTCACATGATGAATACTAGCTAGCCTTGCACAACTTTTCTCAAATTATGTTGTTGATTTAAAAAAAAAAAAAAAAAAAAGCCAGCAGTTTGCTCTTGAGAATAAGAAGGGTAATGATATCCTGGAGCACGTTAAAATAAATAAAATAAAATGTGCTGAGGCCACATCTGGAGCACTGTGCTGAGTTCTGGGCTCACCGGTTCAAGAAAGACAGGGAACTTCTAGAGAGTTCAGTGGGGGGCACCAAAGATGATTAAAGGCCTGGAGCATTTCCCTTATGAGTAAAGGCTGAGAGACCTGGGGCTGTTTGGTCTGGAGGAGACGGAGAGGGGACCTTATCAACACTTATACAAATGGCAGAAGTCAAGTAGATGGGGCCAGGCTTTTTTCAGTGGTACCCAGCAATAAGACAAGGGGCTGTGGGCACAGACTGGAACTCAGGACATTCTATACTAACATGAGGGAAAAATTCTGTACTTCGAGGGGGACAGAGCACTGAAACAAACTGCCCAAGGAGGGAGTCTTTCTCTGGAAATATTCACAACTCACCCGGATGCCTTCCTGTGTGACCTGCTGTAGGAAACCTGCTTTATCAGCAGGAGTGGACTAGATGATCCCCAGAAGTCCCTTCCAACTCCTACGATTCCGTGATTCTGTGAAAAAGTTCACAAGTTCAAATATCTGGGGAGAGAGCCACTAAGATTTACTGAAAAGACAACTGCATCAGGCTCAGGAAATCTACTACACTCAAAGCAGCTAGAGGCAGGGAAAGCATTCAGCTGCAGTTTGCTTGGTCCCTGCACATCTTGAGGCACCTTTTGCCAACCCCTTCTAGCAGGCAGGAAACTGAGTTCTGGACCATTTTGCTGAAGCACCATGGCTGTTCTCGTGTTCAGCATAATCAATCAAAGCATTCCTCAGTGAGCCAGTAGCCTCAGATCACTGGGGAGTTTCCAAAGCTCAAATGATTCATGAAAGACTTGGCTGCTAGTTGCAAACCTGTATTTGGGGGTACCTATTTCAAAGAATCTCCCTTAACATAGGTAGTATAGCCTAGATGTACAAAATAATAATTAGAAGAGATTACATGTAATTAAATGTTACTGGGTTATTAAATTTTACTTGGGGCAAAGTAAGAAATAATAACAAAATACAGAAGTGAAAAGATTTTCAATGTATGATTAATCTCTTCTAATTTTTTGTTTACAGTTTCTGTGTTCACCAACATATGTTTCTTTTCTTAAAGGCTTACCTTAAAAAAAAACAAAAAAACTGTCCTCACAGCTACTGCACATCAGAATAAAGAAAATAATTACATGCTATGGGAAAATTCTCTCAGCTCCAGAAAATAACTGCCGTTGATGCTGCTGCCTACGGGTGTCTCTTCTGTCTCCAAAATATGCCTAGCACGTAAGAACAGCAGCATTTCATTTCTCTGAGAGCCGAAGGTGACGCACAAGCTCCCACCCGCTCGAATTCCTCACAGCAGGGCGGGCCGCCCACAACCAAGATGGTGCCTGCCGCCTCACCCCGCCCTGGGCCCAACGTGGCGGCGCGGCTTGGCGCCGGCCCTCCCAGAACCAAGATGGCGGCGGGACGGCAGGGCAGCCTTCGGACTACAAGTCCCACGGGCGAGCGGGCGTGGCCTAGCTAGCGCCCTCGCGAGGTAAGCGGCGGGCAGGGATTGTGGCGGCGGAGGCGGCGGCGGGCGGAGCTGGCGCTGCCCTGGAATGACCCCTTCTGGGGGAGCCAGGGCTCGGCGGAGCAGCTAGCGGGGCTCCGCAGGGCCGGGCCCGGCCCTGGGCCCGCCGTGAGGTAAAGAGCGGCGGGCGAGGATCAGGATCTCGGGGTGCCGGGCCTGAGGGCGCCGTGAGGCCTCCGTCGGGCCTGGGTGCCGCGTCGGCCTCCCTTGGGCGGTGGGGCAGCTGCCGGGAGAACAGCCTGGAACCCGGGGGCGCCGCGTGCGGCTGCGGGAGGCCTGGCCGTGCCGGCCGGTTGCTTTAAGCGCCGTTGCGGTTCCCAGCGGAAGACGGCGCAGGCGTGAGATTTCTTTGCTGTCTGTGGCGCCTGAAGGGAAGTGAGCATCCGTACCGTCTGTTTCCTTGTCGTCATGGCACGGTCCTTGTCAGCGCCTCTTTCAGCAAATTCCCGACTTCTTGCAAGTCGGTGCTTTTCTGACTCCTTTCTAATAGCCTTTTGAAGAAGCTCAAGCAGCACGCCGAGTGACTTTTTGTAAACGTTGTCCTGCTGAGCGCTGGGAAGATGTGGCATTGAATGCAACAAGGCGGAATTGTAGACAGTTACTAAGAGGGAGAGTGTGAAAATTAAATGGCGCTTGTATCCTTTTCCCTATTCCGCCTCAGTTCCTGAGGTCTCGCTTTGCGAGTCATCCTCCAGGTTAAGGTTTACATTTCTACAAGTGCCAACTACATTTGAAATTCCAAGAGGTTGTAATGTGTAAGCGGTATCTAAAAATCTGATTCTTCTCTCGTGTAGTTGAACTAGAACTAATAGAAAAATGAATATCCTGTGTGTGTTAACTTGTAGAGAGGGGCTTTTATATTGCATTTGCAGCCTTCTATAGGCACATTTTGTTGGATTTAAGTAACAAAATGTACACTTTCATTGGTAGACACCCCATGCTGCCCCGTCATGTGCAGAGGCTGGGCCGAGACTGGATCGCCCATGTCAACGGTTCTCAGGTATTTGCCTTTGGCAGCCCAGTTCCCACCTGTATGAGATGGGCTGGACAGTGCCCATGGGCCTCGTTCCCTCTGCCTGTTCCGGTTGATTTCTCAGCAAACTGGAGGCTCCCACCATTTTTTGGACCTTGGAGGCAATTTC